CTCCTTGGTCACCAATGAAGGAGCAGATGAAATGACATTAAAGTGCACTTCTAACTCTCCTCAGTGTGAAGGGGCAAAGCCAGTGGGCTGGCAAGGGGGTGTGCAGCTGAAAAAGTTCCCAACGGGCCTGGAAAGGGCACAGAGGAGCCCTGCTCTCTACTCCCAAAGACTCCAGGTGGAACCTGGTCCCCCTCTTCCACTTCACAAAAGTTCCAGTGAACAAGGACCCAGCAGCTAGCCTGCCCTCTGCCTGCACTGGCCCTTCACATCACTAGGGCCCAGAGAGCCTCCCCTCAGGTCCCATTTTTCCTTCCTGCCTGGGCCTTGTATCCACCAAGTTACTTCTGAATGGATTCCATGCCCACTGGTGAGTCACTACCATCTCCCCTGTCCACGGCTCCTGACAGCCATTAGAACACTGTGTATGCTTATTAATTCCCATGTTCTGGGCATTGTGTTATGTGACATCACACAGGCCCTACTGTGTCTGGCTTCTTCCACTGAACACATTGGCAGGTTCAAATACACTGCAGCAGGAATGGAATCACCTTCCAGAGTCCAGTATGGTAACAGTACTTGGCAAGAACAGGCTCTGCTCATCCACCCATCTGTTGGTGGGCATTGGAGTTGCAAGCCCTTTGCTGACTATGAAGAACCCTCCCGGAGATTGGCTGCAGCAGCACCCAAAGTCCTGGTTTCTGCTCCTCTGCATGCATACCTACACTGGAAGTGCTGCATCAAGGACTGCCAACCTTTCCAATGACGTCACCCTATTCCTACTGGCTTTATAGGAAGGCTTTGAATCCTATCTATCAACGAAGACACTTACTATCTTTTTTATATTTTTAATGAATTAATCAGTTTCTATTTATGCATTTGGTAATTTTTTGTGTGTGTGATGTGGGGGTTAAAATCCAGGGCTTTGTGTATGGTAAGCACCTTTAGGAAGGCAGTCTTCCTGGTCAGTCAGTGTGAAGGGTGACTTTGCCATCCAACTGTTGGAGTTCATCAGAATTCTAGGTACAGATGAAAGACTCCAACCTTAGTCTCCATTTTAAGATTGAAAGACCCCAGCCCTAGTCTCCATCTTAAGATGTTTTGATCAAACTGGCCAGGGCAAAACAGGATATCTGTGGGTGGCAGAAGCAGTCTTAAGACCGGCTGTACCTGCCAAAAGGATAAAGGCGGGATTTCTGTGGGCGGCAGAAGCAATCTTGAGAAAAACACCCAGTCTTTTGTATATCGAAACCCAAGAGGGCAGAAACTGGCTGAAACTAGCTTAATTTAGACTTGGTTTTGTCCTGATGTTGATCTACCCCATATGTTAATTTAATTTGAGTTGACCAATGATGTTGCTGTTGCTATGCTTTCCCGTTATGTAACCCTGAGACCCTATAAATACTTGCTGGAAAAATACAAGGGGGGGCTCAGTCTCACCGGAGTACTGAGTCGCCCATTGGTGCCTTCGACAATAAAGAATCCTATCTATTGCTGTTTGCATCCATTGGCGTGGCTTATTGCGTCTGGGGAATCCTTCCTGAACCCTAGAAATTAGGGTCTTTCACAGATGCCTGAGCTGCAAACATTTCCTCCTATCCTGGGGGTTGTCTCCTCAGGCTCACAGTACTGGGACCCAGAACTTTGTATATTCAAGGCAACATCCTATCACTAAACTACATCCTTGGCCCTTGTAGTCTTTCTCTTTCGTGGTGGTCAGAATAAGAATGACCCCCATAAGTTCATAGATTTAAATGCTTAGAGAGTGGCACTATTTGATATGATTAGGAGGTGTGGCCTTATTAGAGAAACATTGTCACTAGGGATGGGCTTTGAGCCAAAACGTGGATCCAGTGGCTATCTCTTCCTACTGCCCGTAGATCCCAATGCAGAATTCTCGGCTCCTTGCCCAGCACCATGCCTGCCAGTGCTCTAGTGTGCTTCCCACCATGCCGATAATGAACTAAACTTCTGAAACTGTAAGCCAGCCCCGATTAAGTGTTTCCATTTATAGAAGTTTCTGTGGTCATGTTGTCTCTTCACAGCAGTAGAACCTTGACTAGTAAGATGTTCTTGAACAGTTGTGTAATGTATATCTACAAATTTGTGAATGTGTATATATGTGTGCATCTATGTTCATATCCATATGGAGGTCAAAAGTCAGCCTCGGCTGTCACTCATTCTCGGGTGCCATCCATTTGGTGTTTAGAACAGGGTCTCTTCATAGGCCAGGAAGTCACTGAATTGCCTAGGGTAGCTGGCCAGGGAGTCCCAGGGATCCCCCTGTCTCTACCTCTCCAGAGCTGGGATCACAAGTTCAAGTGACCACACTGGCTGTTTACTTCTGTATCAGAGAATAGAACTCAGGTCCTTGTACATATGAGACCAGCATTTTACCTACCCATGTTCCCCCGACCTCATCCTCTTGATAGTGTCTTTGATACACAAAGCTTGACTCACCTTGGGGCCAAAGCAAAGATTCCAGCAGACTCTGATCTGAACTCTCTGAAGCTGTGACTCAGTCCAAACCTTTCCTTTTCCCACAGGGTTCCCTCAGATGTGCTGTCCCAGGGACTAAAGGCTAACTGACACATCCCTCTATAAGTTACCAATCTGTGGTCATCTTCTCAGAAGCTCTGGAGTTGGCTATGATGGTTTTAGGGACAAAAAAACTTGCAGTAGAACCTGCAGATCAGGCAGTTCCCAAAGGTTACCCCTGGGGAGCCACATACCTGGGTGGGGTTACCCTTACATTTTCCTCATCCATAAAAGGAACTGATGATGCCATGTAGGAGTGAATATGCATACACAGTGTTCTAACAGCTGTCAGGTGTTGTGGACAGGAGAGATGGCAGTGACTCACCAGTGGGTATGGAATCCATTCAGAAGTAACTAAGATAGTTTGAAGCTCCAACTGGGCAATCCTGTTGGTGAATAGGTAAGGGATACAAGGCCAACGCAGGAAGGAAAAAAAGGACCTAAGGGGAGGTTCTCTGGGCCCTAGTGATGTAAAGGGCCAGTGCAGGCAGAGGGCAGGCTAGCTGCTGGGTCCATGTTCACTGGAACTTTTGAGAAGTGGGAGAGGGGGACCAGGTTCCACCTGGAGTCTTTGGAAGTAGAGAGCAGGGCTCCTCTGTGCCCTTTTCCAGGCCTGCTGGGAACTTTTCCAGCTGCACACCCCCTTGCCAGCCCACTGGCTTTGCCCCTTCACACTGAGGAGAGTTAGAAGTACACTTTAATGTCATTTCATCTGCTCCTTCATTGGTGTCCAAGGAGGAAGTCTCTGATAGTGAGTTCAAGGGCAACCCAGTGAGGCCTTGTGTCAAAGCAAAAATGTAAGAAGAGAGCTGAGGCCACTCAACATGAGGGTGTTTTCTGAGTATGGGTGGTAGTTTGAGTGTAATTGCCCCCCAACAACTCATAGGGACAGGCACTACTAGGAGGTGTGGCCTTGCTGAATTCAGTAGGTGTGGCCTTGTTGGAGGAAGTGTGTCACTGTGGGGATGGGCTTTGAGGTCTCCTATGCTCAAGCTACTCCTGTTTCAGACAACTTCCTGTTGCTTGCAGGTCAAGATGTGTGACTCTCAGCTCCTTCCCCAGCACCATATCTGCCTGCATGCCTCCGTGTCTACCATGCTGATAATGCACTGAACCTCTGCAGCTGTAAGCCAGTCCAGTCAAATGTTTTCTTTTATAAGAGTTGCCATGGTCATGGTGTCTTTTTACAGCAATAGAACCCTAACTATAGCAATGCATGAAGTTCTGCGTTCAAGTTCCAATGCCTTCCCCAGAAAGACAAACTCATTTTATGAGGACTGTTGACATAATTAATGACATTTTACTATTGTCACTGATATACCCCTTTTGACTTGCTGTCACTGATAAACACTTTGAAAGTTGTTTTTTGTTTTATTTTGTTCTTATTTATTATTTCCCCCCTTTTTTTTGGTTTTTCGAGACAGGGTGTCTCTGTAGCTTTGGAGCCTGTCCTGGAACTAGCTCTTGTAGATCAGGCCGGCCTCAAACTCACAGAGATCTTCCTGCCTCTGCCTCCAGAGTGCTAGGATTAAAGGCGTGCGCCACCACCACCCGGCAAAAGTTTTTTGTTATTTGAGGAAAGGCCAGTTCTTGGTAACCTAACCCACTCCAGCTCCCTTCATAGCCGACAGCTACACAGCATTGGAAACTCACCAAACTAAATGTGATTATGTGCTAATTCAAAATGTCTGCTTTTATGTCACATGAGTCTATATGGTAGTGGAGAGGGATAATTCTTTTAAAAAGCAAACAAACAAGAATTAGAATTTACTTTAAAATATTCTAGAAGGGGAAATATATATATATATATATATATATATATATATATATATATATGATGCCTCTCCATATATGTGTGTGTGTGTGTGTGTGTTTGTGAGTGTGTGTGTGCCATTGTTGAAAATGGAGGAATCTGATGGTGGGTTTAAGGGTGTTCATATAACCTCTAGTTTTGTACAACTCTGATTTTGACAAGGGGAAATTTGTGCTTGTTCCTAAGCCTTGAACATGAGCCTTTTGATGTGTAGTAAGCAGAAGGTGAAGGAAGGGACAGATACAGGGCTCTTACAACAAACCTCATGTCCCCCAAAAAAGTACTGAGGTTCCTGGGAGTCAGACAGACTGCATGGGTGCTGCTTACAGGAAGAGCAGGAAGCACAGGGTGCAAAGAAAACAACAGAAAGATGGCTGAGAAAGACACCTAGCTCAAAGACTTCTCTCTGCGCTTAGTCAGCCAGGTCACTCTTACATCATCCTTGGCCCCAAGCCAGCTGAGGATGGACCAGGGATGCTGATGCTAAGGTTTAGCAAATCCCCTTCCTCAAAGCACATACTCACGTTTCTGCATCTGAGTGCCAAGTCCTACGGACTGGTCGTTTTCCATCATCAACTTGAGGTGTAACCCGCCATCACAGTGTTAGAAACACTGAAGCCTGCGCAGATGGGCCTTGGGGGCATGGTTTTAATAAGCACGGAGTTCCCTGGAGAGAACAGGGACTCGTGTGTCTGTCCCAGAATGAGCAGCAGGCGTCCACAATGTGCAGGAATGGAAAGCGCTCTGCATTTCCTAGTGGCCTGGTGGCATTAGTGTGTCACGAAATGCAACCTTCATGGCAACCTGGAGCAGATAGGAGGGCAAGAGGAAAACCTGAGGCTCAAGAGAGGATTAAATAAGAGGTGGTTCGGGGGCTGGAGAAATGGCTCAGCGGTTAAGAGCACTGACTGCTCTTCCAGAGGACCCAGGTTAAATTCCCAGCACCCACATGGCAGCTCACAACTGTCTGAAAATTCAGTTCCAGAGGACCTGACACCTTCGCACCAATGCACATAAAATAAAAGATAAATAAATCATAAAATTTAAAAAAAAGAAAAAAATTTAAAAAAAAGAGGTGGTTCCGGGCCTTACCCCAAACACTCATCCTGTTCCAAAAGTACTCATGCTCCCCAGCTATCTTCCAAAAGGGCAGTTCAGAGCTGTGGTCCTGTGCATCTCTGTGCTGTGTATACTGAACCAGGTGTGGCCTCCGCACAACCCATGCACCTGCCAAAGTCCAGCCTGTCATTGTCCTCCCCGTAAGGACAAACCTCTGTGACAGGGCCATGTTGACCTGCTGAGTCTCTTCAGCACCACGGAAGGTTCATAGACAACATTCACTTAAGCAAATGTGGGGCCCGGGCTGCCCAGCCAGCTTGCTGATCATGGCCCAGTGCACCACAACTCACACTCCTGTACACACATGTGCGCACACACGCACACTCACACACACTCTCACATACACCCACTCACACACATACACACTCACACACACTCTCATACACCCACACACTGACACACACGCTTTCACACACTCGTACACTCACATACACTCTCACTCACACACATACACACTCATACATGCTCTGACACTCTCACATACTCACACACATACACACACTCACATACACATACATTCACACACTCACATACGCTCTCACACACATACACTTGTAAGAGTCTGCATTTCCCAGTGGATTCCCACGCCCGACCCAGGCTGCGCACTTCCTGAATTCGGGCCCACGAGAAGGGATAATTGTCCTGAGGGTTGAAAAAGGAGACACAGACAAAAGAGACCTGGCTCATCTACAAGAGTAAATGGCAACTTTATTAAGCATAAGTCGGGTATATATACTGTGGGGCAGAAAGACACCAGCCCCCCATCAGGAACAAGGAAAGAGAAAAGTCAGGGGGCTGCACCCAAGGTCGGAGAGCAGCTGAACAGAGAAAAGAGGAAGCCAGGTGGGCGTGCTCAGGCTCAGAGAAAAGCTGACCCGGGAACCTTGCCTGTGGGCGAGAACCTTGCTTGCAGGTGGAATTACCATGACAGAAGAGTTCTCTCTGAGCTGCACCCTTGGGCCGTAGGTGAAATTAACATGACAGGAGAGGGCAGTTCTATGCCACACCCTCGAGCTGATGCAGTGGAACCAGGAAGCAGAACAGTCCTGCATGGCGCCTCGGGAAAATGGGGAACCTGTGTACCTACATACACTCACACATACACACTCTCATACACTCACACACACACTCACATACACTCACACACACACACAGTAAGGGCTGCAGCCCTCATAGGGTACACCATAAGTAGTGGGAGGTGGGGCAGTGATGCAGACTCACCCTGCCTGCAGGCCTCCAGCATGCGCCACATCCTCTGAAGCCCTGCCCCTTTCCTTCCTCTTTTCTCTCAGCAGATCCTTCTCTGCTGGACCCCCTACCCTCTGTGCCTCTGCTCTGTTCTCTCAGGACAGCGGCCTTTGCCTTCCCCTCACAGGGCACTGAGTAGCCACCTCCAGCCCTGAAGCAGCTGTCAGGCAACTGGCCGGGAAGATGCGGGTACCATGCCTCCCGTCCGGCCTGCTGCTGACACATTGCAGGAGGGGCTCAGTGGGGAGCTGAGCAGCCTTTCACTGCCCTTCACTGCATGAGGCAGGTTCAGCTCGAAAGTTCTGAGGTTGGGGGATGTTGGAGAATGCACTGATCACAACCAGAGCCCTTACCAAGAAAACTCAGTGAAGTAAGAGAATATAACTGCTCGGCAGGACACCAGACATGAGATTGTCTGTCTTCAGCCTGGCCTAGCAGGTACTACATGGCCCAGGTCTCCATGGTGTCTGCCCCCACCTCCCATTCCCAAGGTCAGCAGCTGTGGCCCATAGCCTGTCCTCTGCATACAATTTGAGTCCTGATGCACAGCAGCAGTGGAGGACTGCATGCATGAATGTCTGAATGCATGCATGTATGATGAACGTATGACTGTTAAATCTAATGAGAATGAAGTCTTGGTCTTATCAGCAAGCCAGGATATTTCCCAAAGCAGATGGGCATGTGCAGAAGGGAACAGGCTGGTCCTCTTCACGGAGGAGGCTTCCCAGCAGGCTTAGCTTCCTGGAACGTGGGGGTTCTCTTGACTCCTCCTTCACAGATGCTGAACTGGAGTTCAGCAAGTTCCAGACTGTCCAAGGCCACATGGGGAAATGACATCAGGGCCTGTGGTGGCATGGTAACAAAGCCTGCCAATAATTAACCCAAACCCAGAGTGAGCAGAGGAAGGTCGTTTATCACAGCGGGAGACAGAGAAAGGTCAGGGATCTCTGGGAGGAGGTCCCCAAAGTTGGGTGGCGTAAGCCATCTGGGAAATCTGCGATGCTCGACACCAAGCTCTGGGAAGTAAGCAGTGTATGAGGCAGCAGAGTATCTCCCTGTGAACTTAACTGCTTGCTGGGAAAGCTGGGCCAACATGACACAGCATGCCAGAAGCATGTAGGAAAAACAAACAGAGGGAGGAGGCCAGAGCCGGGGTGAGACAGCTTCAGATGACCAGAGCAGTCAAGGACATGAGTCTCTGAGCTGTGCAAATGGCTGTGGACCTTGGCCCTAAGCAGCTGGCAGCAAATGCCAAGGTCCTGAAGCAGAGGAAGAGGTCTGATATTGCGTCAGATGGAGCCAGGAGTCACAGGAGGGTCCCCTGGAAGAGGAACTAGAGCCATCAGATGAGATCACCTGCTGTGATCCAGGACAAGAGTCAGCAGGAGCCCCTTCTGGGTCGTGAAAAGAATTACAGAGAGCTTAGCCATTCTCAACTCCAGGGACAGACATGGAGGAGGCATCAGCACCCTGGTAGCCAATAGAGTCAAGTCGTGGGTGCACTTTGATCCCAGGGCACTCCCAGCAGACACTGTGTGTGTGTGTGTGTGTGTGTGTGTGTGTGTGTGTGTGTGTGTGT